TTCCAAAAAAGTTGGGACACTATGCAGAATGTAAAAAAAAATAAGATGCAATGATATGCAAATCATGTAAACCATATTTTTAAAGGAAAATACTACAAAGACAACATATCAAATGTTGAGACTGAGAAATTTTTGGAAAATATATGCCCATTTAGAATTTGATGCCAACAACACGTTCCAAAAAAGTTGGGACAGGGTCATGTTTACCCCTGTGTTTCATCACCTCTTTTTTTAACAACACTCTGTAAGTGTTTGGGAATTGAGGAGACCGACTGCTGTAGTTTTGAAAGCGAAATGTTTTCCCGTTCGTGCTTGATGTAGTATTTTAACTGCTCAACAGTTTGGGGCCTCTTTTGTCATATTTTTCATTTCATAATGTGCCAGATGTTTTCAGTGGGTGACAGGTCTGGACTGCAGGCAGGCCAGTTTAGCACCCAGACTCTCAGAATGGGGTTTGGCATTGTCTCCTTCCCTGAAGAAGATGTCATCTGAATGGCAGCATATGTTGCTAAAACCTGTATATATCGTTCAGCATTAATGGTGTCTTCATGTCATGTGCACTAATGCACCACTATACCATCATGTATACTGGCTTTTGAAGTGTCCCCTGATAATAAGCTGGGTGGTCTTAAGCCCAGAGGACACAGTGTCCATGATTTCCAAAAAGAATTCCAAATTTTGATTTGTCGGACCACAGAACACTATTCCACTTCCCCTCAGTCCATTTTAAATGAGCTCAGGCCCAGAGAAGGTGGCAGCGTTTCTGGATCTTGTTTCTACATGGATTCTTCTTTGCGTTTTAGAGTTTTAACTTGCATTTGTTGATGCAGCGACAAACTGTGTTCACAGACAGTGGTTTTCAGTTTTCCTGAGCCCGTGCAGTGATTTCCACTACAGAATCATGTCTGTTTTTAATGCAGTTCTACCTGAGGGTCCAAAGATCACGGCCAGCAAATACTGGCTTTTGGCCTTGTCCCTTGCATACAGAGATTTCTCCAGATTCTCTGAAACTTTTAATGACATTATGTACCGTAGATGATGAAAAGCAAAAGTTCTTTCCTATTTTATATTGAGAAACGCTATTCTTGAATTGTTGCAGTATTTGCCTGTGCAGTCTTTCACAGAGTGGTGAACCCCTCCTCATCTTTACTTCTGAAAGACTCTCTGAGATGGCTTTTTGTTGTCAATCATGTTGCTGACCTGTTGCCAATTAACCACCAGGTGTTTTTTTTTAGCACTACTCAACTTTACCAGTCTTTTGTTGCCCCCATCCCAACTTTTTTGGAACATGTTGTTGGCTTTAAATTCAAAATGGGCATATATTTTTCAACAATAAAGTTTATTGGTTTCAACATGTGATGTGTTTGTACTACTTTCAATCAAATATAGGGTTTAAATGATTTGCACATCATTGCATTTTGTTTTTATTTACATTGTGAACTTTTTTGGAAATGCGGTTCTACTTAAAAAATACTGTTCGGTATTGGTATTGAATTCAAGGTATGGGAATAGTATCAGTATCTGAAAATTACAAAAAATACCCAGCTCTATTTGGGTCGTAGAGTGTTTGAATAGTTGCATAGATGCTCAAATAAAAACAACTCATAGTGGCCGATACTCAGTGTTTCAACATGGGTATTAGAATGTGTTTGCAAAGTGTGACACAACATACTTTCAGTTCTCAACCTGTCAAATAGCCATTCATTGCATACTGATTCAGTCTGGATGCATTATATGACGACATGCCCCAGCCCAAATTGACAGTAATTTTCTGCTTTCCATCTTATATATGCTCTGCAGGCGGCTCAAAAAAGTGCATTCAAGGGCAATATGTATCTAATATGTGTCTAAGAGATACAGTATGTAATTCTGGAGAATCTAATTTAAATCTGGTGGGGAGAAATTCTCACAGGAGTGGCAGCATTAAGTGAGAGATCCATCTGTTCTGCTCATGTCATGCCAGCGTACTTACGCGACACTGGCACAAAACAGCAGGCTTGATTTTGTAATCTGTCACAAGTGGAGATGATGCGGTCAGCACATGGAGATTTCTCACACTCATATAACACTGAACAGGATCACTACAGATGGCTTTCATTAATAGCAATACTACTGTTGTGAATTCAGCTCATTTGTCTGTACTGTAAAGCAGTAATGTTTGCTTAACCACCAGAGGGATTATGGCCAAAAGTGACTGAGCCACCCATATAAACTTTTTCCAAGAAGACTTTCAGTGCAACATGGTAACAACAATATATACAGCACTGTGCAAAAGTCAGAGATCACCCTTGCATTTCTGTTATTTCCAGTCAAAATGGTTATTAAGCTATTTATTTTTTACCATTGGGGACAATTTCAGAAACAGTTTAACAAAAATTCAAAGCCATTCATTTATTTAAATTTAAAATTATGTAAAAAATTACACACAAGCTTCAACAATTAAATATAATTGCAATATAATACTGAAATTGTTTTTTCAGTATTCGCTTTGTCCACGCTTTGTTACAGCTCCCATTATTTTTGGAAAACGCAGGGATATTTTTCCACACCTCCAAAGTTCAGTCGTAGAAGCTGGTTGCACTTTCTGCTTCTCACAATCCATATGTAATATGTAATTTAGCAGGTTTGAAATGATCTGTTTGATAATGGTCACCATTATTTATGAGTAGGAGGTAGAAAAATATCCATTAGGGCTGCTTAGGGAATGTTGATGTAGACTAATGGCTAAAGGTTAAAGCATGTTATGTTATCAAAATGGGGAACGAGCTTTTGTTCATCTCCACATACCAAACCTACAAATAGAAATACTTATTAACATGCTCAAAATTTTCAGCCCGTATCTCTTAAGAAGAGCCTAAACATTAGTCATTTTACTAGAATCAAAAGCATCTGTAAAGATGAGGAAGTTTATAAAAAAATAGAAATGATATGATAGCTATGTTTAAAGAGAGGAAGTATAAGGAAGGTTTGCTTATGATATGTTAACATTCAATAAAAAATTCCAAATCCAGTCCAGGCTTTTTACCACACTACCTAAAACTATGGTTGTTACTGTACTGGGTGTAATATAGATAGATAGATAGATAGATAGATAGATGGATGGATGGATGGATGGATGGATGGATGGGTAGACAGACAGACAGACAGACAGACAAACAGATAGATGTATTTACATGTAAAATTCCAGTTGGAAACTTTAAATGTATTGTTAATAAGCTAAAAATATTATTTTTAATCATCTGGTCCAAAAAAGTTTAAAATATACACAGATCAGGCGTAACATTAAGACCACCTCTTTGTTTCTTCACTCACTGTCCATTATATCAGCTCCACTTACTATATAGGGGCACTTTGTAGTTCTACAATTACAGACTGTAGTCCATCTGTTTCTCTGCACACTTTGTTAGTTCCCTTTTACTCTGTTCTTCAGCAGCACTGCTGTGTCTGATCCACTCAGACCAGCGCAACACACACTAACACACCACCACCACGTCAGTGTTACCACAGTGCTGAGAATGGTCCACCACCCAAATAGTACCTGCTCTGTGAGGGTCCATGGAGGTCCTGACCACTGAAGAACAGGGTAAAAGGGGGCTGACAAAGTATGCAGAGAAACAGATGAACTACAGTCTGTAATTGTAGAACTACAAAGTGCACCTATATAGTAAGTGGAGCTGATAAAATGGACAATGAGCATAGAAACAAGGAGGTGGTGATAATGTTATGCCTGATCGGTGTATGTTGTTGCTGTCGTGACAAACCCTTGTATCTCCATTTTTCTCGTTTTTGACATAAAGCCAGCTGCCCTTTACGTTGTTTCAAAATTTTATGATGAATGGGCTGACAGAAATGGTCAAAAATCACCTGGAAAAATTATTTCTCTATAGACTTGCATTAAAAGTTAAGACCTTTTTTCCTTGTCCTGTAAAGTTACCTTTTTAGAGATACCCAGTCACAAGGTTTTTTAGGAAGCTGTTCATTGTATTTCTCAATTTTCATTTGGAGGTGGGGGGGTATTGAGCATGCTGAACAACTTACAGATAGAGGAGATAACTTTGACCACATTTGAAAAAAGAGGGATCCTTATGGATTTTTCATCTTAAAAGTTTATTCCCTGAAGGAATGAATGAGGAGCTTTTAATTAAAGACTGTTTTTTGTTTGTTTCTGTAGTAATTTGTCCTTTTTTTGTCTTTAGATGTCATGGTGATCTTAAAAGTTTTCCTTTATTTTTGAATGCTGAAGGTTGTTCAGTTAAAATGTGTATGCTGCATATTGGTTTACTCTGTAACTTCCTTTGTTCTTCATTTTATTGGTTGTTTTTAAATTGTACTTCCCGTTCTTTGTGAGTGTTACTAGTGTTACTCTTTTCTATGTTATCGTACCTAGCCATGAATGATCAGCGTTAATCAGTGTGTTAAAGGAGGCCCAACAAAGATTCCAATACCCAACCTCACCCCACTCGCAGCGTAACTGGCCTTATTAAAGCAAAATAGCCTTTTTTTATTCAGATGTGTCAGAGCAATATAACAGATGATAACAGATGAGACACAGCAATGTTCTCCATTGATTCAAAACCTCTTAATTAACCTCTGGCTGTTCCTTTTCACAGTTGTGGCAAATGGCTTCCTCAAGCCTTTTGGATAATCTGAAATGATGCTGGTTAAAAGCAGCAATAAAGTCTCCTGCAATAAAAAACAGTTTAATAACAGTCTAAAATAACAGTTGCGCCATAGCAATGTTCTTCACCAATCAAAATTTTACAAACACATCAGATCAACCTCTGGCCTACACTCTGTCCTGGTGTTGGAAGCAAGCAGCAATAAAATCTTTCATCAGTTCTGCTGGATGTCCATACATCGTATCCACAGTGCACTGATGTACTGACTCATGTGGTTTGGGCATCTCAGTGATCCACATAAAGAGATTATGAACGAAAGCCTACAGCTTCATACAGTGGTCTATGTGGAGGCGAAAGGGAGGTGTGGGTGGAATGGCCTACCTGCAGGGTCGTGTTCAGAAATGTTCTGGAGACACTGGAGTTTGATGTCATACAGCAGGAGAACCTGTTCTTGTGCTGTGAGTCCCACCTCAGGGTCTACTTGCTGTGGACAAGGAACAGACCACGTCTCATCACTGTCATATTCAAATCTTGTAACTCCATTTTTTCACACCATTTGAAAACACAAGCTGAGCATTTCATGACGAATAGACCAACAGAACTGGTACAAATCAGAGACCACCCTTAATTTTTTAACCCCTTAACAAGCCAAAACAAGGCCCAAAGTTTAATTACACATTTCTATATGCTAAGATAGCTACATTAGTTTGCACTGAAGTCCCTTTGCAGCCTTTGTATGTAATAAGCCTGGAATGTTAAGAGGTTAAATCAAATCAGTCAAAACAGCTATTAAGTTTTTTTTCATTTTTCATTTAACAGAAAATTACACAAAAGCTTTAACACTACATATCTTTTACTTCGGTATTTATTGTGCCCACTAGGGGTGGGGGGAAAAATCAATTCTTAGATGCATCGCGATGCGGACATCTGAATCGGATGATTCTGAATCGATTCACAAATGTCAAAAATCGATTTTCTAAATATTTAATTTATAACGTAATGTTAGCGGAACTTGGAAGTGCGTAAGTGCAGCGCCCGGACAGTCTGTGGCGGCACATAACAGAAACACAACAGGATGAGCGAGAAATCCGACCGGCTCCCTCTGCATTAAAAGTCAGGTTAGGTCAGGAGTCACAACTCAAATGTTAAGAAGAGCCATTTTGTCCTTTCAACAAAAATCAAACCACCTTGGGAGCCACAACATTTAATGTCCAGTATGTCTCAGTATGTGTTAATGTCCTAGTATAGGTTAAAAAATATGAACGAAAACGCAGATTTACCTTACTCTGCTTTAAGCTTTAGCTATAGCCGCTTTCCTCCCATCTCCGCCAGGACACTTTTCCTCAGAAGTAGAATAATTTCTTGTAAAACGTCTCTCAACGTTCGACTGTTTTACAAGGCTGGAGTCAGCTTTTTATTCGTTTGAATTTACCCGTTCCATGCGGCACCATTTAAGGTGGAATGGGAGAATTCGAGAGCGAAGCTGACTTCATCTTCGCAATTTTTTAGTGTTTGACAGTCTCTCATTGCAGATTTAACATACTAGGAAACCAACTGCGGTTCTGATAAATGCGAATAAGTCCATTCATCTCCAAATGTTGATCTTAAATCCCTCTCTTTGCCTTTTCTTTAGCTACTAGCTAGGCGAGACTCTCTGCGTTGGTATGTAACCTGCAGTCTGCACGCCAACCTTCAGGGTTATAGCGTGGTGAATTAGTGTTTAAGACCATCTACTGTAAAAACTGAAGTTAAGGAATCACTGAAGAAAATGGGTAGAATAGCTGTAACGTGATTCGTGGACACCCAATGCCACAGAATTTATGTCACAGAAACAGCACATTTTATCGCAGGTGAGTGGCAGCAGCGTCTCATTTGCTCCGAACAAAAGCAGTGAATGAGAGCTGTCCAGCTCACTTGCCACAACACTTCCATTTGATCTATTAATAAAATATATTGGAAGTAAATTCATTATGGATCATTACAAATACTTTGCTTTAAAAGTACCAAGTCCTCACACAGTGAGAAAACAGAAATCCTCTATAGAAAAAAAAGATGCATCAAGATGCATCGATAATCGTTTAATAATTGCATCGCTGCCCTCTGAATCATAATCAAATCGAATTGTCAGGTGCCTAGAGATTCCCACCCCTAGTGCCCACCCTTTGCCTTTATTACAAAGAGATTTGCTTTTTCCACATCTCCGCAGTTCAGTCTTAGAAGGTGTATGTTTTTCTGCCTCTCACGATCCAATTAATCCCAAACACATTCAGCGATGATTTCTGGACTCTGGAGTGGACAATTCATTGTTCTGAGAACACCAGCAGCTTATTTGTTTGAATGTTCATTCTTGTATTTATATTTTTTTATCTCAGGCCTTTGGTATTAACATCCATCTTGTGAAATCCGGTCATAAGTAGACAGTGAGACATGTAGCCAATAACACTTGGCTTTTCCATGTGTCTCAAAAACATCTCCAGTGATCGTGACTGGAGGAAGGGTGCCACCTGCATTTACTACATCTGTCTCTCGCTGCATTTGTTGTCAGACAGCAATGTACTGCGAGATAGTATTTGTGTAAATTAAAGGGCTGTTTCAAACGTTTAGAACACAAGAACTGCTAATACAACTAGTAAAAAACAGTGGAGGAGGCAAAAAATGAAGATACACAGCTGCTTTCCTGATTAAGGCCGTCCTCTGGGGCTGTCAAAGAACGTCAGGACACTTTAGCATTCACACTATAAATGTTATGTGGTCATATGCATTCCTTACCACCTCCCAAGTGACTGGATCATAATGTGTCTCTAAGACGCATTGTACCCCATTCATGCCTGCACTTAGCACTTGCCACTTATGATAGGATCACCCACAATGCATGAAGCCTTTACTGATGCCTCTTTCATGGCTCAATAAAGGCTTCTTGACAGATAGTGACAGTTTAGGTGGTCTACCAGGTCTTGCATGATTGTTAGGTTCTCTATATCTTTTAATTGTTTTTTGAACATCAGCTCCTATTTTTTTTTAACTCATTTTACTTTGACTTTCTCTTTCCTTCTGCAAGTGAATTATCTTATATCCAACCTCCTCAGAAGTATCATGAAAAATGAATAACTTGTACTTAGTTACTGTTTTGACTGGAGATTAAATAAACGGAAGATGGTGTCTAACTATTGCACAGCACTGTGCTAAAGTTAAGAATGTTGTCTTCCTTCTGTAAAAGTTCTATTTCAGAGTTATGACACACACAATATGTTGTGACGCACACAGTATGTTGGCTCATGGTGCCATCATGTAATCATGAATGTTTAACCCTTTAAACTTCAAGACGAACCAACGACAGCTCCAGAATGCCATTCCTCACTCTCATGACTGCTTACACATTAGTTTTACAGTATTTACTGCTTAGGTTTAAAGGAAGTTCTGCCAAATGTACCTGACCAGCCAAGACATGTTTGGTGCACAAAGTTCTGGAGCTTTGAAGCTAACAAGACTGTAATGAAAGCTTACAGCTCACCAATTAGCATCATGTAAACTGCAGGCCTAAATCATCAACACTTTCCTCACACCATTCCAAGTTGTTAAGTAATCTCAAACAGACTTGCTTATGTGGTTCTATATCTATAAAAATGTATTTAAAAATCTAGAAAATGTACACAAAAATCTGTAAAATGTCATCTGTAGAAAAGGACAAATGTAGCAGCCACTTTGAAACCAGAATTTGTCTGTACTTTTGTCCATTTTTTACAGAAAATAGTATGTACAGTGTCAGAAACCATATAAGCAAGTCTATTTGACATTACTCACAAACTAAGTGCAATTACGGGCAAGTGTGATTTAAGCATTCAGTTTACACAATGCTGGCAGCTGGATTATATACTTACTTCATTAGCCTTGTAGCTCCAGTGGACTTCAGACACCAAACATGCCTTGTCTGATTGATTACATTTGCTGTATTTGGTAGACAATAATTTAATTTTCACCAAAATAATCCCTTAATACCTGAATAATAGGTCAATCAAGGAAGTTAATTAGCTAGAGTAGATTCTGGTTGGAACCAGGCTCCACAGTAACGCAGATCTCCAGGAATACAGTTTTAAGTGATGTCACCTGGAAGTTCAAATACAAAGTACTTCTGGCGAATGTATCTTGACAATTATGCTCTGATCACTGAGCCTACTGTGAGCCACTAATCATACAGCTAAAGTAATCTGATTTTCTGAGCAGTGATCCAGCCATTCATTCAGTCTAAATGCATAACAGACATACAATGAAAGGATAGAGGCTTAAAGGAGAACGCACTCCAATATGATCACATACACTGTCAGAAAAAGGGGTAGTGTACTGTTCCTCAAGGTACCAGGAATGTAAACGTACCTTTACAGGTACAAAATGGCACTTATAGGCTAAATGTGTATTTTTAAATGAGTTCAAAAGGTACACTATGTACACTGTCCAAGAGGAACAGAACACATTTGTAACTTTTCATGACTAAATCAATGCAACTGCAATTGCAAAACATTGCAATGGAATACGGTACAATAACAGCAGTGCAAAAAAGTCAGAGACCACCTTTTATTATTTTATTATTGTTTTTATTTTATTTTATATTATTTTTTATTATTTTATTATATAATTTACAGTCAGGTAAAGTACATTAAGTACATTAAGTTATTTGCTGTCCAGGAGATTAGATATAAGATAATTCAAGCATAAGCGAGGAGAAAATGAAAGGAATTTTCTGCTTTTTTTCCACACTGTTTTAAAAAGGAACAGCTTGCATTAATGGCTGTTGTGGCAGATAAATAAATAATGCATGGTCTTGGACTTCAGCATAGTCATAAAACATGCCTGCATGAGGTTTTTATTGTTTAAGTGTCATTATCTCTCCAGGCTGGCATTAGCTTCTAATCATCAGTCTCATTACAGCATCATTATTCTGCCTTTATCACACCTGGTAGCTTCAGTAAAGCCAATATTTAGTGCACTGTGTTACTTAACACTTACTTACTTAATATTCTGCCTTTTATTAATATTAACTTATTAGCCTCTCTAGAGCATCATTGTTAGGCTGAATACCATTAAATTTGCTCAAATTAAACTGCTACATGCAGATCTACATTTAGGTATGGAGCCCCTAAGATGACATGGTAATTATCAAAAAAAAAAAAAAAGTGGCCAAAAGTTAATATTGATTAATTTGTGGTCTCAATATATTAATACGTTGCCACAATACAGTAACTTATGGCCTTAATATAGTAATCTGTGGCCTCAATATATTATTTTGTTGCCTCAATTTAGCAATTTGTGGCCTCAATATAGTATTTCATAGCATCTATATATTAATTGTGGCCTCAGTATAAAAATTTGTGGCATCAATATAGTAATTGGAAGCCTCAATTTATTAATCTGTGGTCTCAATATAGTAATTTGTAGCCTCCAGTATTAAATTGTGGCCTCAATATAGAAATTTGTGGTCTCAATATAGTAATCCAAAGCCTCAAAATATTAATTTGAGGCCTTAATCTAGAAATTTGTGGCATTAAAATAGTAATTTGAGGCCTTAATGCAGTGATTTGTGGTCTCAATATAGTAATTGGAAGCCTCAATATATTAATTTGTGGCAATTCATAGCCCCTATATATTAATTTGTGGTGTCAATACAGTAATTTCTGCCCTAAATATAGTAATTTGTGGTATCAATAGAGAAATCTGTGGCATCAATAAGGTAATTTGAAGCTTCAATTTATTAATTTGTGGTCTCAATATAGTAATTTGTAGCCTCCAATATTAAATTGTGGCCTCAATATACAAATTTCTGTCCTCAATATATAAATTTGTGGTCTCAATATAGTAATTCGAAGCCTTAATGTAGTAATTTGTGGTCTCTATACAAATTTGTGGCACCAATATAGTAATTTGATGCCTTGATTTATTCATTTGTGGCCTCAATATAGAAATTTCTGGCTTCAATAGAAAAAAAAATGGTGGTCACTATATAGTAATTGGAAGCCTCAATAAATTAATTTGTGGATTCAATATAGTTATTCATAGCCTCCATTTAAATTTATGTACTCAATATAGCAATTCCTGGCCACAATTTAGTAATCTGTGTCCCCAGTATAGTAATTTTTTGCCAAGTCTTAATTTAAAATAATCACCATGTCACCTTAGGGGCTCCAAATTTAGCAAAAAACCCCAAGTGTGTCACTTCGCAGCTGCGGAAACAGCGCTAGACAGAGAGAGAGAGAGAGAGAGAGAGAGAGAGAGAGAGAGAGAGAGAGAGAGAGAGAGAGAGAGAGAAAGGGAGAGAGAGAGTCCAAATAAGTGACTTCGAGCTTCTTCTGTAAAACTCAAGGGGGCTCGGCACGCTGAGCTCGGTGGAGCTGTAAAAGAATAAGAAAGGCTCTCCTCACCTGCGCTGCAACTGAACTCCAGGAGGAAACTTGAACGCAGATCCAGAGCGCTGCTGCCCGCACGCTGACCATGCTGACCATGCTGAACACGCTGAATTCTCCCAGATCTCCCCTCTGAAACCGCAGCATCCGCACAGCAGCGGGCAACGGTTTGGCCAAAACGCACAAAGACCCCAATACAGTCCTGTTTTGGTGGTAATTTAGAGCCAAATGACGCTAAACTGAGAGAAAACAACGGGCAGGTCCAGGAGAGTTTTGTGGCGTTTCTCTCGCTCCAAAATGCCCTACGGCGTTCGTAAACGAAGCTGGAGGTTAAGTGAAATAGGCAAAGCCAAAGCACCTCGCCATGGTCGGAGTTTGGTGACGAATGTGCATGACTTCAAGCAAACGAGAGAGAGAGAAACAGCGACACAAGGAGAGAGAGAGAGAGAGAGAAAGAAACAGAGAGACAAGGAGAGACAGAGAGAGAAACAGAGAGACAAGGAGAGACAGAGAGAGAGAGAGACAGAGAGAGAAACAGAGAGACAAGGAGAGAGAGAGAGAGAAACAGAGGGAGAGAGCGCTCAATGGGCTGCGCTTGGTAGAAGGGAGGGGGTGTCAGTGGTGTGGTCTTCAGAAGAAAAGTGGGTATAAATCAGCCCAGCGCACACAGAAAGAAAAAAATATACAGGGAGAGAGAAAACGAGGTGACAGTGTGCAGTCATACAGTGAGAGCTTTTTACTGAATGTTTTTAGATACTGAATTTAAAATACTGATACAGTTCATTTGTTATGCAGGTTACTGCAGGACACTGGTGTAGTTTGCATTTGTACTGCCGTGACAGTGGGTCAGGGATCCATGTGAGCTCACATTATTTTTCGATGTTTTTGTTATTGGACACTACAAAAAAATAAAAAAAAAAATAAAAAAAAACGAAAAAATAAACAGCTATACACTAAAATTGCATTAGTTAGTTTTCTCAGTAACAGTCCTCTTGTATATAAACGTTTCTGAATGTATTGGCCTTATTTTGAAGCCACAATCTGTCTATTACAAAATCTCTAGTCTACTTTACCAGAGAACGCGTAGTGAGGAGAACAGCTGTATGTCTTCCGAGTTTCTCACACAGGAGGGCGCTCCCGATCGAGTCCACGTTGAATGGGTTTAATATGGAGCATTTGGGCAAAATCATAGTTTGTAAATGCTTATTTTCATATAGAAGAATGTATAAATTCCTTGAACACAGAACAGCACAAAACAGTTACCGCTGTTATGTTTCTAAACGCTTCCGAACTGGAGTTATAGGACTTTATAACGGTGCCTCAGGTACGTTAATGACGTCAGTGAGCTGCTCCACTCGCCAACCAGTCAGCACTCAGCAGCAGTAATGCAAACCAATAGACCACTGTAATCGTGCATCATTCTGCAGTCCTCGTTATGCCCAAATTAGGAACTCCGGTCTAAGCTCAATTTCTCTGTGGCCAGAATGAATAGGGATTTTGAAAAATCGACTCGATCGCCCCCTGTGTTAAATAAAAATGTTCAGAACCCGATACGTTTTGTCCTGTGTGCATTTTTCTCCCGAATACCACTGGATCCTCCGAATTACGAGGTCGTTAAAGAGCTATAATACTAATATTGCTACATGTGAGCTAAAGCTACTGCGCGTCAATTTGATGTCACTAAACTACACGAAACTAAGGCGGGCTGTGGCGGTGCTCTGATGAGCTGTGCTACCTTGTGGAAATGTTCTGCCGTAGCGCATATTTACATGTATACCCGTAAATAAAACCTCCTTATCAAAAATACTACCCGTGTAAAACTACGAGGCTGAATTTAGCTTCTTTTTCGCAGCTTCTTCTTTGAATGTTCCCGTTCCACCTTAATACTGTGACTAGCTATCACGACAAAATACTGACCTGTCGGTTCTGTGAAACAGCAAAAATAAGTTAATGTTACTCTGTTAAGCAGAAATAGAGAAATCTCCTCATATCATGCCTTTCAACCCTCCCATTTTTTTACCGGCTGCTTGTTCGAATTTCCCCGTTCCACCTTAAATGGCCCAACAGTTCATGTTGTGACTGCTGCACCACTTAAAGTGGAACAGGAAAAGTCAAACAAAAACTGGCGAATGTCCTGAGAAAATGTCCTCAGAAAATGTTACCAGCATTAAAATAACAATTAGGACATTCTAATCACCTAAATCAGCTTATCAGGGGGGTGATAACCCGCTTAAGGAGGCTGCCAGTCTAATGATGTGAATTCAGTGCGCAGTAGTTTTACTCATAGCAATACTCATATTTTAACTCTTTAACGACCTTGTAATTCGGAGGATCCAGTGGTGTTCGAGAGAAGAATGTTCACAGGACAAAACGTATCGGGTTCTGGACATTTTTATTTAACACAGGGTGCGATAGAGGCGATGTGTCGAAAACCCTATTCATTCTGGCCATAGAGAAATGGAGCTTAGACCCGGAGTTCCTAATACGGGCATAAGAACATGGCGCCGACTACAAAATGACGACACGACTACGGTGGTCTATGAGCACTCAGCAGCAGTAATCAGGGACGTGGGAAGTGGGGGTGCCGAGGGTATGGCAGCACCACCGGATGTAAGGGTTGATTAAAAAATGCCTGAACGTGAAACGTAGTAAAGACCTAAATCTGCTTATTTCAGAGAGAAGCTTGAATTTTTATGCTGCATTTATATGTTTTAAAAGCTTTAGTAGCTTTTCAGTAGCTGTGCGTTGTTTACTTTAATGTATTTTTGTTAAAGTGAGCCGAATCACGTCCCTCACACGCAGGTTGAGGTGCAAAGAGGGAACATGTGTGCAGAGCTGTAGGCAACTTCTGAGCACAAAAGCTGCCTAATTGAATTTCAAACTGAAAGAAACCATAATGATGTTCCGCGCTTTAAATACATTTTTAAAAATAAACTCTTGTATCTCCTACTCAGAGTGTGTTCGAGTGTGTACTGCACCACACATCACCAATCTGATTGAACGTAGCTTAATGCTAACCATACACTAGAAGACTTTGAAAAGACTTTTGAAAGACTAAAGTCTGACATCCTCTCACAACTAAAGACAGTGTCATGTTTTTTAGCCACAGACTTTGATTTTGCAAAGACTAGGAATCTTGCAGTGTCACTATTTACAAGACTGCAACTACTACTATTTTTGAGATTATTCCCCAGCATGAACTGAACCATAAGAAACAAACAAACAAAATAAGAAACGATTCTTCAGTAATGGCATTCTTAAAGTCCTCTGCACATTTCCTTACGTGTTACAGGTGTCAGTGTGTATTAAAACAGTCAGTTTACATTTTAAGTTAATATGATTATTGTATTAAAGTGGAGCAGATTTGCAGTTTTTACAGAGATTTCAGGCACTCAAGCCTGCTCTCTCTCTCTCTCTCTCTCTATTAATATTATAATATTATCATTATAACATTATAATATTAAACACGGTTGATTTTGACACAGCGTCAAGACGAGAAAAAGACTGACTTAAGACCGCCATGCTGACCACCTCACGCTAAACTATCGAGATGATGCAAGTGCGAAGCAATTCTAACAAGACTCTCATGATTTTATTCCGACATTGGATATTTGTCTGCAACAGTGAAATCGCTCGAAAAATCGTTTGGTGTAAAGGCCGGCATAAATCCGACGTGCCAGTTATGTGAGTATATTTTTGCCTACAAGCTCTATTTGATGTAAATTATCAAAAAAAAAAAAATTAAAATGACAAATCATTTTACATGACATCACAGTTCATGTTATGAATATGCTGCAATTTCAGCACCTCAACTTAAAATATCTGCCTGTGTCCCTGGCAGTAATGCTAATCAGTTAGCACTCAGTAGCAGTGATGCTAGCTTCCTACTTCACTAAACCCGTTTGCTGTAGAAATAAGGAAATATACAGATAAGTTTTCTTTGCTTTTTAGTGAAAGAAATACATCTATTTACTTTCTAAAATTAAAGGAAAGTCTTATATAAGTGGGAAAATACTTAAATTTTTCATTTTTAGCTGTTTAGCTCCTTTCACCCCTATTCATTGAGGACTTGCTCAAGTGCGCCCTCTGGTGTTTTGCAGTCATGTTTTTGACACAACAGGAGAAATAGGAAGTGGCCAGGCTTCCCTTTTGACACATACCCAAAGCATTCCTCTTGACGGCCATTATCGGGCAGCTATTTTCAGTCATACAAGACCTTACACTTGAGCATCTTATTTAACAAAAGTGTTCTTTAAAGAACCATCTATTGAAAGGTTTTTAGGGAACCAAAAGTGGCTCTTCTAGCATCACTCCAAATATCTCTTTATTTTCAAGAGTATGGTGACACAATATAGGAGATTGCCGTTATCCAGGTTCATTGAGCCCTCGAGCATCCCTCCCCCTCCTTAAAATGTTAAAGTGCAAAAGTTACTAAGAAAGCCAGGGGTTTTATGTGTCCTGACACATCACATTAAAGCACCTTTGCTGCACAGACACAGTCAAATTTGCACAACAGAATCCTTCCTGGCTTGGCCTCATTTACCCCCTACCTTATTTACTACTCAGGGAGCATTCTTTCTTCATATTCAGCCCACATACAGCAACACTTCACTTCTGTTTGTTGTCACTGGCTGACAAAAGCAACAAAACCCAAAGTGCCTTAAGTGAGCCTGATGCCCCACTAGACCTGAACTCACCTTATTGTTATGCTGTCTTGTTTCCTCTTTATAGTATCCTATGAAGTCATTGTTTACTCTTCTCTCTATTTATTCTGTTGTGCTACATTAGTGTGCAAAAGTCAGAGACAACCTTTTATTGATTTAATGTCCAGTCAAAACAGCCATTAAGTATAAATTGTTCATTTTTCAGGAGATATGGACACAAGTGTTGGGACCTCCTAATTACTGAGTTCAGGTGTTTCAGCCACACCCATTGCTAACAGGTGTATAAAATTAAGCATATCGCCTTGCAGTCTCCCTAGATAAACACTGGCAGTAGAATAGTTTGTACTGAAGAGCTCAGTGATTTTAATCATGGTACTGTCATAGGATGCTACCTCTGCTACACGTCAGTTCATGAAATTTCTGTCCTGCTAGATCTGCCCCAGTTACCTGTAAGTGCTATTATTGTGAAATGCCAAGCACCCG